TACCATTTCCTAGGCGCGCCTAGCTGTAGCTGCCTGGAACCACGGCCCTGCAAGGAGGAGAACCAAACAGTCTTACCACGTCGCTTTATGTTCAGTACCTGTCTGACTTTCTTCGAAAACAAAAGTACTTCTATGACACAGGTATGATGCCACTGAACAAAAACTAAAGTGACTTCTGGTGTAACTTAGATAGATAGATGTTCCCGCTTTGGCAAAAGGTACATTGATCACAAAACAAACTTCAAAACTAAATAGAAAGAACATTGCCATATGCAAAAACAGAAGTTAGATTTCATACAAGGTTTATGCACAAACTGACCAAGTCCTTCAGGAGATACTCTCACCAGTTCAACGTTGTCCATCAGGATCAGGATGTTTGCAGACTCAGGAACCAGGACCTTTTCACCTTGGACAGGCTGCAGATTCCTGAATAACGTTGAACACTTGTGATCATATAAAGGAAGGCCAAGGAATCTGCCGGCCGTCACAGCTTGACCGCGTGCTGGCCGGGCGGATCCATCGAAATAATGCATTGAGCTACACGTTTTATATGTATATAAGTACAGTTAAGTTAGCAGGGCACATTACGAACATAACAAACATATGCGGACAAGTATAGGGATTGTGGTCTCTTTTTTTCTATGTCAAGTTGTTAACTTTGCATGCATACAAAACAGCTAAAATCTTTGCTGTTTTTCTTTTTTTTTTCTTTTAGAGACCATTTGAAGCGTAGTAATTTCATAAGGATCAGTTTAATTTAAAAACAAACAGAAATAAAAGAAAAAAATCCTTCTAACCTTAATCCCGGTGAGAGAATCTGGAAATCTTTTTCATAGGATCCACTCATTTTGGCCTAGAATCTAGAAATCTTGGGCTCTATCCAAGTTCCGCTTCTTCATGTGGCTGGTCGCACACGACAGATGTTGGACGGTTGATCGGCTGGCAAGGCGGGGCTACCACACTCGGCACGCCACTATGGAGAGTCAGTCAAAACGTTGAGAGCCTCTCGTCCTATGAATAAGATCGGCTGTCACACCACAACCGTGGTTAGTGTGATCTCGCAAGATTACAAGTCTGTGTACAACCTTGGTGTATGCAAGCACCGATAGCAAAGAGGTATGCAAACCTCACTAAAATCTAGATTAATATTTAAAGCAAAGCGCTAATACGACCTAAACTAGGCTAAGCACCAACAAGTGGACACCAACTAATTCTTTTACTAATTGCACCAATCTTCTCTTAAGCACTTTGGTGGCTAGAGCACGTACAAGAGTATATGCCTCAACACTTCCAGTAGCTTGTCCAAGCTCTAACACCCTTTAAATGGTGGGCCAAGGGGTATAAATAGGCCCAAACCAAGAAACGTTATGTATAGTTGGCCATTTGGCCCGGGCACTACGGGCCGGCCCAAGCACGACACGAATCAGCACGACCCAGGAACGGCTCGGATCGACGGCCTTCGTGCCAGTGCTTGGCACGGCCCGGCCTTAGTGTCGTGCCTGGGCCGCCATTCTAGCCCGTAGTGCCGGCCCGAGCACGGCACGCTATATGGGCCGGCCCGGCAGCGGCATGGCTCGGCCGCAGGTGGCCGTTGGAACCCCGGCGTCGCTCCCATCCGACCGTTGGATCCGGCCGTTGGAATCAGGGGTATAAAACCGCAGCGCTCTCGTCTCGCTCTCAGTCTCCATTGCCCTAATTCATTTGCTCTCAGTGACTCAGTCTCACTCTCTGTCTCTCTCGCCTCGCTCTCGGCTCTCCTCTCTCGGCTCTCCCCCGCAGTGCCGTCTCGCCCGCTCCTCTCTCGCCTCATTCTCCTCTCTCGGCGAGTCGGCGACTCGCTCTCCTCTCTCGCCTCCGACTTCCTCTCTTCTTCTCGCTCTCTGGTGGCCTCTGGAGCCATCGCTGGCCAGTACTGGCACAATCCCTAACCCTAACCCTTGCTCAATCCCTAACTCTAACCCTTGATCTCTCTTCGTCCTCACCGGATCTGTCGTCGACCTCGCCGGATCCGTCGGATCTCCGGTCTCGCTCCCATCGGACCGTTGGATCTGGTCGTTGGAATAGCTGGCCGGCACTAGCACAATCCCTAACCCTAACCCTTGATCTCGCTTCGTCCTCGCCGGATTCGTCGTCGACCTCGCCGGATCCGTCGGTTTCCTCTCTTGACCCGTCGGTTTCCTTGCCGGATCCGTCCCTCGTCGTCTGTGCTCGCCGGATCCGTGCTTCGTCGACCTCGCCGGCGACTCTGGTGCTCCGGCTTTGAAGGTAAGTCCATAACCCTAACCGTAACCCTAACCCTAACCCTCAATTTGTACTAACCCTTGCTCTGTTTTATCTGAAGCCGTTGAGGGACCGGGGCGCCGACGAGTGACGAGTGGCGATGTTATTTTGTTCTCTGCTGTGTTTGTGTGACTTTGAGTCTTTGATAAGTTCTCTGAACATGTAACTTTGTGTGACTTAGACTCTTTGATAAGTTCTTTGATTCTGATCAGTTTGTGATTCTGATCAGTTTGTGTGACTCTTTGATTCTGATCAGTTTATGATTCAGATCAGTTTGTGATTCTAATCAGTTTGTGATTCTGAACATTAAGACTTTGTGATTCTGACCAGTTTGAAGTGTTGATCACTTATAGTGCCAGTGCCGGCACGGGCACTGCTGAGCCGCCGTGCCCAGTTAACTCTGGGCATAATTAACCGAAGACCGAAGACCGAACCGAAAAGACCGAGACCGAGACCGAAAAGTTCGGTCCTGGCTCCCAACTAACCGAAGTAACCGATAGAAGTTCGGTCATATGTGTCGGTTAACCGAAGTGACCGAACTGACCGTAATTCTGTAGACTTCGTTCGTAATGTCATTATGTGTGATTGTGATTTGTGAGAACTGAGAAAGTTGTATGCTAGAACTTGTCATAATAATGTGTGGTTTGTTTTATATATTGTGTTGTTATTTTTTTGCCTTCAAATAGCAAGCATGCTGTTGAAAATTGATATAGATTCTGCTATTGTTTGTGGCTGCTACTCAGGTCCGGTTAGTTCGGTCGTGACCGAGACCGAACCAAACTAACCGAGACCGAACTTCCTCGGTCTTCGTTTTTTGTAAAGACCGATCGGTCCCAGGTTTCTGATGACCGAATTGACCGAATGACCGAGGAACAGAACTGATCGGTTCGGTCTGACCGAATGCCCAGGGTGATGCCCAGTGACACGGCACGGCACGGCACGGCACGGCTAAGACCTGATAGTGTCGTGCCTGGGCCAGCACATCGGCACGGCGGCACTAACAGGCACGGCACGGCTAGTCTACCGTGCCATGTAGTGCCGTGCCTGGCCGTGCCGTGCCGTGCCCGTGCGGCCCGTTTGGCCAACTATAACGTTATGTGAGTACTGCATTTCTCTAGTGTGGACTGGAGTTATACAACAGAGCTTTTCTATGCCAAAAGCTAGCTGTTGCTAGCCATAACGTGAGCACTAGATTTCTCTTGTATGCACTGGGTTTTGTACCAAAGCTTTTCTGTGCCAAAAACTAGATGTTGGACTAAAGGATGTCAACCGTATTTCCTGTGATCACCGGAGTTTATGAACAATAGTAACAGAGAAATCTGCTACTCTATTCTCAGCCCAACATAATGTTGTATTTTGTGCATAACTTTTTTCTTTGAACTCCGATTTTAATGATCTTGAACTTGTTGGAAAGCTAAGAAAAAGCACTACAACTTTGAACTGATATCATATCAATTTGAGTAGATCCAAAATCTTGAGATAAGACCAATTCATTCATCTCATTGTCCCAGCTCTGTTGGGCCCTTAATGCCTTCTATAAATTTGTAGTTGACAATGTTTTTATGTGATATAATTTAGATGCTCAAATATTCATTTTAAGTTATCAGGTTTTGAAATTTAACTTTTTTACTTTTTCAAAGGGTTTCAGATGTCGGCATTGTCTATATAAAAGTTGTAGCCCATAATGAGATATATAAATTTGTAGTTGGCAAATTTTTAATTTGATATAATTTAAAGGCTCAAATACTTATTTTAAGTTATCATATTTTAAAGTTCAAAATTTTAATTTTGTTGATAACCTCGGATGGAGAAACGATCTACACAAAAGCCGTAGTGCTAAGTGAGATCTAAAACTTTCCCACAGAAATTGTTTATTTGAGATTATTTAGAAGTCATGTAATCTTTTATTAAATATTTGAGCTTATAAATTATCTAAAAAAGAATAGTTTTCAATTGTAAAATGGCTCTATAATTTTGATATAAAGTTTGTCTTAATTGCATTTCATATGAAACAGATATGAATTGTTTTGTTAGATGAGACCACCTGACATATGGGCCTAGTGAGGCAAGTAGATCAGGGTAAAATAGACACACTGCTAAACGTAGTGTCCTCCCAACCAGGTTTTGTTTGGCTATTTGTATCCACCTCAATACATTAACACACGCGTATTAAGATGGATACGGTGAACAAGCCTCTATGTGGATTGTGGTGGATTAAAGTATAACAAAAAAGCCCTTAATAGCAAGTTATCTCTTGGGCTGTCATTGCCTGATCTCGAAATTCAATTCGCCGTGTTTCCAAAACTATAACTCTGTTATGCACGTGTTTAATTTAACTTTTTTTTAGCAAAACGTGTTTAATTTAACTGGATGGGGGGCTTTGTGCAGCTTTGCGTGCTGCGAAAAGCACAGTATTAAAAAGATGCAAGACGAGTCGTTTATAGCCATTGAACATTTTGATCCCTTTTTACTCATCCTCGTGTTACCAAGCTGTGATAAGAGGGCGAGAGCTCAAAATAAAAGGACAGGAAAAATCAAAACACACTCCATGCACATTCACTGTTCGTCAGACACTCTGCATTCTTGCAAGCTAGGGCTTACATTTTCTCTAGGTCAGCAAAATCACCCTACTAATGCTACAGTCACGTACTCTTCTTTTGCAACTTCACCAACAGTCATCTAAAACCTTTGCTGGGAAGCTTCAGTGCAGGATGAAGAACTCAGGGCTTCAGGTTGTCACTGAATTTCCTAATCGACCTGTCGACGAAAAGAACATCATCGATCCATGAAACAATGTTGAAAGTCAAGCTCTCCAAAACCCTTGAGTAGCTCTCCAGAATCGCTTGCCCAACATCCTGCAAATTTGTCAGTTCATTTCATCAAATCAGATCAAGAACATAATTTCAGTGCAGATAACTATGCCTTTGTCTGTTGAGTATGATGATTGATGAGCAGATGACTAAAAAGAAGATGAAAATGCCAACTAGTATGACCTTGTGTGCTTGCTAATGTGATTGGACAGTTTTGGGTTACCTTGTTGAACTGGATCTTGCTGGTGTCCAGGGTGGTCTGCGACAGGCCAGGGAAGCGGTGCTTGATGCAGAGCAGGAGGCTCTCGGCCCTGTTCGCCAGCGTCACGTTCTTGTCGTCGTCGGCGGCCGCGAGCTCCTTGACCTTGCTCCACGGCAGCTTGCCATGGCTGCCGCTAGCCTTGCGCCGCCACACGTACATGGCGGCCTCCACCCGGTCGGCCATCGCCAGTGCGTCGTGCTCCGACGAGATGTCGAGCGTGTCGAGCAGGAACTCCGGCGAGAACTTGTCGGCGCCCAGCATGACGCGGTACACCGAGTCCCCCACGCTTGCCCGCCCACTCTGAACGAACACCATGATTTTATTTACCCAAGGATTTCAGCGAGGAGAGACATGTGTACACCTTCGTTTCGTACCTTGGGGAGCACGGCCATGAACGACTCTGGCACCTCCATGTCGCTGAGGACGCCGCTGTTGATGGCGACGGCGGCCTTGTGGATCTGGTTGGCGCAGTCGCGCCTCTGCTGAAGGTCCTTGCGCGCCTTGTCGGTGAGGCCGGCGTCCGGGACGCAGGGCACCGGCAGCCACCACTTGTCCTCGTTCCGGTGAGCCGACCTCCTGAACGACGATGACATCCTCGATGACGATGACGAGGTGACCGAGCCGAACGACCTCGTCCCGGCGTCCGCGTACCAGAACTCCGCCTTCTGGAAGCTGTCCAGAATGTCCTGCACCGTTCGTCGCGCATGATCGGGATCATCATTCATCATTGCTGGCTGAGACCAAGCAGAATCAATGGAGGGAGCAATGATTGGGATGTGATCTTACGATGAGCATGGCGTCGAGCTTCTCGAGCGCGGGAAGGTTGATGTAAATGTCCGATCTTGGTCTGGTCTCCATGACCTGCACGAATCGATCCATCGTGATCAGCAATAATGTCGATTCTCGATTGGAAGAGAGACGACATTCCTCAAGTTTCTTGGAAGAACTGAATCTTTCAAGAACGAAGAAATCCATGGATGGAATGGATAAACATGATGAAGCGCAATGCAATGCAGCACCTCAACTTTGGTCCCATCAGGCAGGGTCTGCGTTGACGGGTAGAACTCGACGATGTAGTCGCAGACGGAGAGGAGGCAGTCCATCTCTCTTGTCCACATCGCCTTCTTCCCTGCCGGCAGCGGCTCCAACTTGTGGCAACTCCCGAACACCGTCGCTGCGAAATTAAAACCGATACAAGGACATGTTACTATAGTACCGACCGATGAAGATGCATGCCAGAAGCTAGCCCAGTACACGAAAACGTTCCGAGTCTGCTTGCTTACCGTAGAGGTTGGTGATGGCGTTGGAGATGGCCACGGCGGTGCAGACGCCCTTGCCGCCGCCGGACATGTCCTCGCCGAGCAGGAGCTTGGAGAACCTCTCCTTCACCAGCTCCATCTCTGCGCGCACATGCCCGGTCGAGTTAAGAAAAGACGCGACACGGTGATCGATCTGTACCAAGAACATTATGTATTTACGTACCGTCGTCGGTGGAGCGGCGGTCGAGCACGTCGGCGCGGGGCTTGATGCTGAGCCGTCTGAGTGACTCGGCGGCGGACGCCGGGGACCGCCCGCCGATGAGCTTGGCCACGGCGGCGGTGGGCTCGAACGGCCCGCTGTGGTCGACGTCGACGCTGCTGCACTTCTCCGAGAAGGACGTGGACACGTCGGACACGGTGCGGCTGAGGTTGCCCCCCGCCGCGTCGACGAGGCTCCGCGTGGACGGCGACGAGCAGCACCCACCGTGCTCCCCGGCCTCCGAGCTCCCGTCGGACACCGAGACCGATGAGCTGCTGCTGTCCCTGTCCATGGCGTCGCTTCTTTGCTCCGCGCCTTCGCCTTCCGCCGTCGTCACGCTTTCAGACCAGTTGGGCACTGCACGGAACAAAGGAACACGAGATGGCTTTATAAGGGCCCCGCCCAGCTGCTGCAATGGACACGACAAATCCATCGAAACGGGAGAAGCCGACGCACTAGGCTAGAGATAAATTCGCAGGTTTAAATTCGAAACTGCCGTGTCGTCTTGTAGCAGATGCGTTATTTTTCAAAGTTTTTGTGAGGACTGAGAGAGACAATGCTGAGGAATTTGGCGAAACGCCCCTGTTGTTTATGCACGAGCTCCGCTGCTTTTGAGGGGATTGTGATTTGTGAGGCGACGACTCCATACTAAATCATGGCAATATCATGGCATGCAGATAAAGATGCAGCAGAGCAGTCGGAAAAAGGACGAGACAGCAAAAAAAAACGAAACGGCTAAAGATTCAGACGCCTTTGCTTTTGAACCTTCTTTTAGACGCAGATGCAGCAGCAGTGCCAAAAAGAATTTCATCGAACAGTGCGACGGTGCGTGTCAATCTCCTCATCATCTCATGTCACAGAGACCCAACCCAACCCAGATGGAAAACAAAATTTGCGAAAACATGGAAAGAAACAAGCATGCCTTTGGTAACTGCAGATGCTCGGCTCGGCTGCTGCAAAGATGGAATGAAAGGGGCGCTAAAGATGGCAAGCAAAAGATTGGCCCTTTCTCACCTTTCCTGACGCCGATTTGATTTGATCTGATTTGGATTCCTACTACGCCTGTGACGAGCAGCTCAGCCCTTGGCAGTTGCCATGCATTGGCTGGCCAGATCTCTCCGGAGTCCAGAGTTGTCCCTCAAAATGCTCCTGCGTCAAACAGAAACTCCTCCCTGCTCTGATAACGCTCCTCTAGCTTTGGCAACTCTGTCCTTGATTTGTTAAAGCAATCGGAGATGGCAATGATTGCGGAGGTGACGAGCATCATGCATGGCCCGATGAGCTGTGCAAAGAGAGGATTAGTTAGCCAGCCAGGCACGAAATGACGGTGCGACGCAGGGCAACGCCAACGAAAAATGAACCGTGCGAGGGCCAGTCCCAGCTCAGCTCCCAGGAAGGAGGACGGATGTGCGAACCACCCTCCACTTCCACTCCAACTCCACCACACGATGCACCGATGCCATCAGATCGGATGGCCTACATCTGACGAGGCTGGCCGGCCGTGTAACGTAGGTACGGTGGGTCGGCCGCTGATTGCGCGGCGTGGCAGCACGGCGCGTGATTTATATATGTTAGGAGTAGCTTTGCGTGCAGGGTGTCCAAGACTGTCTCCGTTGGTGCCGTTAACTTCACCTTCCGTGCAGTGCAGCATCCAACCCCTTGGTGTGGGCACGCAGTTGAGTTTCAACTTTCAAGCAATCCAAATCAACCGAGGTAAATTCCGATGGGTTTGGCTGGCTGGTGCCGGTGCTTTTGAGGCAGCGGAAGCCGGAAAGCAGCGCAGGCGCGGTATGGGAGGAAGCGCCCCGGGCGGATGGATCCGGTCGTGCGCGTGTCGCGTTCCCACGGTGCGCACGCGCACGCGCACGTAGCGCGTCGGGATCCCGGCGGCGTGGCCGCGCAGCACTTCTGCTGCCGGTCTCTGACAAAACAAAACCCATCCAGTCAGCTCGATCGAGTGCAGGCGTCCGGCACCGCATTTCCCACGCCATGACACATGACGCCAACGCGATCGAGAGAGAGAGGCTGCTGCTCTGGAGTGGAGTGGAGTAGCGCCAATGGCTATCGGACAAGCCACGCCTGACGCAGGAGCCCCCGTGCCAGGACATGAGCTCCACCAAGCCGCCACCTCCCCTCCAGCGCTCCCGGAGTATGCCTGAATGGAAAATTGGAAATCTTGCAGTTGCAGAGGCCGCTCAACTTGACCCAACTCCAAAGAAGAGGAGTTTTTTGAGTTTGTTGGACGCCAGGACGGGGCCGTTGACCCAACACGGCATTAAACTAGTCTCGGGCTGGTGCGGCGTGTGGAGTCGTGGGCGCTGCGTGGCCGTCACGATGCCTACCGTTTTTTCTTTCTTTCTTCTATTCAATATACGGGGAGCTTGATTTTGTGCAGGGCACGTATCCACCATTAATGCACATCGAACGGGATGTCTTGTGCTAGTAGGTTTGTCAACGGATAGCCCACCTCACGAGTCACGAGTCAACATGTGCTAGCAGTCCTACTTTCCTTTCCTCCGATACACCTGTACGCCGTACCCGTACTTGCTTGCTCTACCAGTCGTGTGGAGTGACTAGCAGAATGTCCAATTTATACAAGTTCAAATACACACTGACCGTAATTACAAGGATGTTAAGGCGGTACACACTCCGGTCCATATAAATTTGTTATTGCAACGAGAGCCTCAGAAGGACCTCAATGTTATTTTAATGAATAACACATCATAACACATAGATGACAGTGGAAATACCATTACATTACAACCTATAGAGTACCTGAAATCTAAAATAGCCATTGGATTTCATAGCGTTTGTAATAGATTGCTAAAAGTCAAGCACAATTCCATTTGAGCTTTTTCTTATTATAAACTGCATAAACTAAATTAATTCTGAGCTTATGAAACGAATTGGTAAAGCTGGTCGTATCGCTATTGGATCTGTGTACACCAAAATAAGTAAGCTAGATTAAAAAAAAAGTGCTAGTAAATTTAAGGAGTCTGCTATGTTGCATCCGATTTTAATCTGAACTTATGAAGGAGCTTGACAAAGTTGATTGGCTAAGTGTATCAACTGTTAAGATATATATATAAATAGGATAGGAATGAGGGTGCCTGCCTAGTCAGGCGGCAACCCCTCAGTAGGTTGAAGAATAGTTGGTGGACACATGCTCTTTGGCGATGGCTGCTCAGTGGACAATGGACTCGCCTCCGTTGTCATCAGTGCAGGGGCTGCCACAGCTCACGCCAACATGAGTGGGACAACACGGCGTCGCAGATGAGAGCATGGCGGCCACGCCCACCCCAGCGATACGATGCCCACGCCACGTGAGGCTACTCGGCGTCTCGCACGGTTCACCGAGGAGGTGCAACACAAGGGAAAGTCACCATTAATCGCCAGTCCACCAAGACAGAAGGCGACAACCACAAGGCAATAGTGGCGAAGCTCGAACAAAAATTTAGGTGAGGCACATCGCAGACACAACTTTTTAATGACAACACAAGGACGCACATCAACAGCTAATCTATGGCAAATTTAAATAGCGATTGATCGGACATCCTATTGCGCAAATCTATCTTGATTATATTCATAGCCGAGAAGGCTCTTTCAACAGTGGCAGTTGCAACAGGTAGAAGCAATGCTAGCTTGATGAGGCGATAGACCAATGGAAAAGTGATGTTTCTTTCACTTGTAACCATCTGTATGGCCAACCTTCTAAAATCATGACAAGCCTTGAATTGTTCAACTCTTCTCATGTGAAGGATGAATGTCTGAAGTTGTTCTCTTATATTAGAGCGATCCAAGTCAGAGAAATCTTCTTCATATATTTTAGTTAATCGAGCAATCTTTTCAACATCAAACTTGAAAAAGGAGTTTCTTGGATCAAGACATGAGAAGCAAACAAGTAACTCTGATGATACCTCATTGAAGCGATGGTCCATCTCGGTGATAATAGCATCAATAGCAGCCAAGAAAGTATCAACACGGTAATGATGCTCTTGAGTGATTAAGTTACCATCTAGCCTTGATTGACCCCATTTAGGTATTGACTCATCCATATTTGGTATTGGAATCTTCTTTTCAGTGCAAATCTACACATATACAACAAGCAAAATCTCAATTGTCACATCTCAAATAAATTGCTAAATGCCTAAATCTCAAATTCACAATTGTACCTTGTAACACCATCGGTGTTACACTATACAGTCTTTTGCTAAAACACTGCATGAGCATCATATTTATGTGATAGTGTATGAATTATAGTGTGTAAATAAATTCCTGTGACTTGAAACATTTATTGGAAACGCGAAACGAATGTTATATTTCATGTCGCGTTATATCGCTGAGGGTTCTAAACGATTTTTTATGAACGAAAATGCTATAGAACGCATACCCGGCACTTTAATAAAGTTTGTAGTACAAACTTCGTAGGTGGCGATGAAATACTTGCGGTCGAGAATGAGATTCGCTAGATAGCTTACTTAATAGCTTAGAAATCGAAGTTGACGCGAATCCGAACTAAAACTTAGTCATTTTCTTAAGTCAGAGGTCGAGTTGGAGTCCAGCTTCGCGCCAAGCTTGCCACTGTTGTAGCCGTACGGTT